TCACTCAAACATGCAATCAGATGACCAAACAACAACAGACCATCAAGTCATACGAATCCCTCAACTACGACTCGGTGAGTATTACGCAAAATAAATCTACCCAAAAACAGATTCAAGAAGATCCAAAATGTGAATCATAAATCCACGTCCATTTCCGGTTCAAAAAGTCTGAGAAATGGAGGTGAAGATTAAGAAAAATATTATTTGCACGGAAACTTAAATGACGCTTAATTAACAGCAATTCCTGAAACAATCACCAAATAAAACCCTAATTATCATATGTTGAATTTTTGCTCTACAGTTCATCGAACTTTGCAGACAAACAATCCGATCTTAACAAAAGACCTAAACTTTGACCAAATTACAAAGCAGAAACTGAGAAAAGCACGTAAATTTCGAAAACAAAACGGAAAATCTAGCATCGGACGCACCAAAGAGAAGGAAACGATGACCGATTAAAGCAAAAAGCAAAACATTGAGAGAGAGAGAGAGAGAGATGAGAAGGGACCTTCGGAATCGTGGAAAAGGCGAGGAATTCCGACGGAGGTTGGAGTGGAGGAGGAGCAGATGGGTGGATGGTGGGCGCCGTCTTCCTTCGTCTTCGTACAGCACGCTGGTGTTTTTTTTTTTTTTAGGTGGAAGGTAAGAGAGGGCAATGATGACAAAGAGAGAATGTGAGAGGGAAAGAACAACAGTGCCTGCTTTTTTTGTCTGCCATTTGGCCCCCTTTCGTTTTCTGTTTTCAAACTAGCCTCTTGCCACGTATGAGAATTGACTCTCTCTTTTTTTTTTTAAAGAAAAATAATGAAAATGTTTTGAAAACTTTGAATTTTAATGATAAGGACAAAATAAAGGGTAAAGTGAATAGTACCAGGATTAACTTTTTAGTGTAAAAATGTGGTTTTTCGTTAAAGTGAACAGTACCAAGTGCTTTTCGTTAAAGTTCCATTTTTTTAATTGGATCCGCTCTAGATCTTAGTATTCGGAGCATAAGAATCAACTAATCTAGGGTGTACAAAGTGAATTCAACAGTTTCTATTAACTCATTTTTCTAGCCAGAAACTAGGGCTTACTTCTCTAACCAAAAACTTGGTGAGGAGAGAGGCTACAAAGGAAAGAAAATTGGCTTAAAATGTAGCCATTGTGATGCTGGTAGGCACTCAACAGACCGATGTTGGATTCTTCATCCAGAGCTAAACCACAGTTTCCTAGTGATAACAAAGGTGTCTCGAAAGGCTCACACAACCCTTCTTACAAGGCAAATCATGTTGCCACAACTTCTTCTGAGGGAGCACTGAAGTTCACCACTAATCCAGCTGCACTGATCAACGAGTTTGCTATGTTTCTTTAGAAGAAACAAGGTCTTGGAGATAGTGAAGGACCACTAAATCAGTGTGACAACAATCAAACTGCACTACTAGGACAGTTTGATGGCTTCCTGGTTGGAAATAAAGGCGTGGTACAAAGGGACATCCCAGGTATCTTACACTCATTCTCAACTGCTCTCAACATTGGTAATGTGCATGATTATTGGATTATAGATTCTGGAGCCACTGATCATATGACTAACAAGTCTACAAACTTGCATAAATTTGAAAAATTTTCTATTCCATCTCAAGTGTCAGTTGCCAATGGAAAAAATGTTATGGTTGTGGGAAAAGGAAAAATACATTTAATCTCAAGTGATGTCGAGTCTGAGGCTCTTTATGTTCCCTCATTCCCTTTTCAACTTTTATCTGTTGGTAAGATCACAAACTCATTAAATTGTCTTGCCATTTTCTCTCCCAAAAATGTGATCTTTCAGGATGTAGTCACCAAGAAGACGATTAGTGATGGATTTTTCTTAAATGGTCTCTACTATCTTTCCAAGCATATTCAAGTTCCCAAGGTTTTTCAAGTCATTTCAAGCTTAGCTCAAGAACAGCAACTTTGGCACCAACGTCTAGCACATCCTTCTGAAAAAGTTCTATCCACCTTGTTCCCAAACATGTGCAAAGTTACAAGTCCTTGGATGTTTGTCATTTTTCTAAGTTTACTAGATTACCATTTACTTCCTCTTTGTCTAGGGCTAGTAATCCTTTTGAAATCGTGCATTCTGATGTTTGGGGACCAATTCTAGAGTCTTTTGATGGATACAAATATTTTGTAACTTTTGTGGATGATTTCACAAGGATTACTTGGTTGTATCTTTTGAAATTTAAAAGTGAAGTGATGGAAGTTTTTCAAGATTTTCATAGACTTGTGGCCACCCAATTTGCTTCAAAAATTCATATTTTACGATCAGATAACGGCACATAATATATGTCTCATAACATGTCACACTACTTGAGCACGCACGCATGGTATATTACACCAAACCAGCTATGTTGGAACACCTCAACAAAATGGGGTGACCGAGAGGAAGAATAGAGATCTACTTGAGAAGACTAGAGCTCTTATGTTTCACATGAATGTGCCTAAGAAGTTTTGGTCTCAATGAGTTCTTATTGCGGCATATCTCATCAATAGATTGCCTAGTAAAGTGTTGAATTTTAAATCACCTTATGAGGTCTTGAAAAATAGAAAGATCAACTTTTCCCATTTGAGAGTCTTTGGTGTACATGCTTTGTTCACATTCAAGCTTAAAATCGTGACAAGCTAGACCCAAGGGCTGCCAAATGTGTCTTTCTAGGTTATTCATATACCCAAAAAGGTTACAAGTGCTATAATTCAACAACTAGAAAAATGGTTGTTTCAAGGGATGTTAAATTTGAAGAACATGTTCCTTACTTCTCACAATCACTGGATTACTCTAGACAAGGGGAGCATTTGATGGACTTATTTCCTTTTCCATATCCAAACGGAGAAGATGCAACATGCACTCCTAGTGATCATGTGCCGGATGATGTTAATCTTCACTCGGTGGAACATCTTGAAGATGAAACCCCTTCCTCATCGGAGATTCACACTGCACCCTCTAGTGATCCTTCCAACCATGATGTTGTTCAAATACCTGTAGTTCAATCTCCTACAGTTCGTCGCAATCCTGCACGAGAGAGGAAACTTCCATCCAAGTTGCATGATTATGTGACCTACACTGCCAGGTATCCTGTGATTGATGTTATTGACTATAGCAAAGTCTCATCTTCTTTTGCTACATTCCTAAGTGCCATTAATGAAGCTCGAGAACCTCAAAGTTTCAAGAAGCCAATCTTCACAGTGAGTGGAGAAATGCTATGGCAGAGGAGCTTCAAGCCATCCATGAAAATAACATATGGACTATAGTGAAACTTCCAAAAGGAAAGAAGGCAGTGGGGAGTCGTTGGGTGTACAAAACTAAGTTTCATTCAGATGGCACAATCGAAATGAATAAGGCTCGCTTGGTTACTCGAGGTTTTACACAAACCTATGGCGTCGATTATAAAGTGACATTTGCTCCGGTGGCAAAAATGAACACTGTTAGAGTATTGTTGTCGGTTGCAATTAACAATGCATGACCTCTCTTTCAAATGGATGTTAAAAATACTTTCCTGCATGGTGAACTTGAAGAAGAGGTTTACATGAAGTTACCCCCAGGTCATCCTCAATCAAACAATCCAGAAATGGTGTGCAAACTCCATAAATCCATTTATGGTCTCAAGCAAAGTCCACGTGCATGGTATGCCAAGCTCAGTCATGTTCTGGAAAGGGTTGGTTTTTGTCTAAGTATTGCAGATTCTTCCCTATTTGTTTGTTCCATCTCAGTGGGTAAACTAGTTGTGCTCATTTATGTTGATGATCTAATTGTGACAGGTGATAATATGTCAGAGATTAATGCTCTTAAACAGTATCTCAACAACAAGTTTGCTATCAAGGATCTTGGCACTCTCAAATACTTTCTGGGCATCGAGATGGCACACTCTCACAAGGGTTTCTTTCTCAACCAACGCAAGTATGTCATGGATCTTCTTCACGAAGCAAAAATGACAGATTGCAAGCCTGCTCGTACCCCCTTGGATAGCAACTTGAGTCTAAAAACTCACGGTGATCCAGTTCCCAATTTAAGTTACTATCAAATAATGGTTGCCAAACTCATTTATCTGACTATCACACGTCCTGATATATCATATGCCGTCAGCATTGTTAGCTAGTTTATGCACTCTCCAAGCATGGATCATTTGAAGATTGTTCATCGTGTGCTACGTTATCTTAAAGGTTCATTGGTAGAGGAATTCTTATGCGCAACAATAGTCATACTCAGATCTCAAGCTATACCGATGTTGACTGGGCAGGCAATTCTCTCGATCGCAAGTCTACCACTGGGTTTTGTACGTTTGTGGGAGGCAACCTAGTTACCTGGAAAAGCAAGAAACAAAGTGTTGTTGCGCTCTAGTGCAGAGGCAGAGTATCATGTTATGGCGTCAACTGCTTGTGAACTTATTTGGCTTAAAAGCCTTCTGTTGGCTTTAGGTTTTCCTCATCAACAACCCATGTCCCTACACTGTGATAATCAGGCCGCGATGCACATTGCATCGAATCCTGTATTCCATGAGCGAACTAAACATATTGATGTTGATTGTCACTACGTCAGAAATCAAGTTCAGTCCAAGGTGATCGATACTCACTACACGCGCAGTCATGATCAACTTGCGGATATTTTCACAAAAGGATTAACCTCTGCTAATTTTCAGCATCTTTTGTTCAAGCTTGGATCAATTAATCCATTTGATCCAGCTTGAGGGGGAGTATTGGAAGAAAGAATGGCAACTAGGGTTAGGTTAGGTTGCATGTTCACCGTACAAAGGATTTTAGGGTGATAGATAGTGTTGTCAATTCCCTTAATTCAAGGGATGTGTCTTATTTGTCTTGTTGTCAATTCCCTTAATTCAAGGGATGTGTTTTATTTGTTCTCTTTTGTTAGCTTTAGACGTAAATCAAGGAGGGATAGGTAGTCTTGTTTTCTTCCCTCTAGCACATATATATTTGCTATCTCTTGTACCTGATTGTCTTATGATGAATATACCATTCACAAAATTCAATATATACAGACTTTTTTCTTTGGTGCGTTCGATTTCAGTTATGGAAAGAGTATATGACTTGCATATTCGCGGCCTAATGACACACTTCCTTGACACTGTTTGTCGAATGAGAATGCATAATTGTTATTGCAGCTTGTCTTTTTCTTTGCTTTCATTTTTTTATCAAGTTGAAAAAAAAAGGTTAGGAACTCGCTATCAATTAGGTTGAGTGGTTTCTGTTTCTTGTATGTGTATTTTGGTGTGGGATGGACTTGTTGGTGTGCATTCTTGGCTGGATTGTGTGTTGGGTGTCTGTGGCAATGGATCAATAGGTTGCACCAACAACAATTATGCATCAAGAGAAAAGTGCAAAAAGTGCGGGCAACCAAAGGAGGTAGCGGCAATGACAGCGGTTGCAATGCCTGGAGCTTCTCTCCCAACTTATTCACATTGTTTTCCCAGGTCCCAAGGAGGACTGGACCAAAAGATGGGTAGTGGAATGATGGCCAATGGTGCTCCCCCACATTTGCTTCCTTTGAACTGGCCTATAGCAGGAGCTGATAAGTTTGGAGTTCAGCCGGCTTCTACTTGGTCTGTAGGTGGAAACCATAATGCTGGAGTTCTACATGCAAACCCTACTAATCAGCTTCTCTCAGTTCCAAAAGGATGGCACAGTGGTGACTGGCTATGCAGTTGCGGTTTCCATAATTACTCATCTCGAACGCAGGTATGATGCTGCATGAGCATTCAAAGCAAAGAGTTCTCCTTACCTGACTGTTGATATCTGATCCAATTTTGATTTATCTGCAGTGCAAAAAATGTGATGCTTTTCCACCAGGTACACTCTTTCTACATCAGCATTGCAATTGTCCTATGATATATTTGTGGTTTAGAAGCACATGTGCTGCAGTTATGTTGTTTTATTATTACGCAACTGGTACCATAGATTGTAAATAATACTCACTTATTTACATTCCTCTTTTTTCGTATAAAGCTCTTGGAATGAAGCGATTAGCATCTGAAGAGCTTGTTCATGACTGGGATAACAAGAGACTGAACGTAGGACGTGTAAGGATGATCTATCTATTCTATGGAATTTTAGATTATAAGTTTATAAGATTGTTACATACAGTATCCTTTGCTTTCTTCTTCTCCTCCTCCTAGTTGTTTCCTTATTCTTCTCACTAAATTGCAGACAGTTGGGCAGCAGCAATCCTATCCTGGGTTTGAGCAAGTGGTAGGGACCAGTGGTAACCTCGCAACTGGACCTTACGCTCCTTATCATCCCAATATAAGCTCAGGCATGGCTCCGAATTTGCAAGTGCGCATGCCATTCACACAGCAGGCATTGCCACCTGCACTCCTTGGAAAAGGGTAAGTTTGGAATCAGCTTTTCCTTTTACATATGCATACTTAGGTTCCACATTCTGATATGCATATTAGATCTTACAGATTCGTGTTTATTTAACTGTTTTCAGTGTGCTTCCACTCCTTTTTAAACGTGGATAATATCCCTACTTCCACATACGGCCCTGATAAATGTCAATTATGACGAGCCTATATTTTTAGCATAAATTCAGCTTATTGTGAGGTTAGCTTCTTTGATAAGGACTTTCTTATTTATAGTTTATTGACTTCGCAGAGCAAAGCAATGGCGTAACGGGGATTGGATGTGCACAAATTGCAACAATCATAATTATGCTTCTCGATTGAACTGCAATAGGTTAGTGTATAAACTAAGCATTGATTCCTCTTTTGCGAACATTCGTTACTTCATCCTTTTCCTCGGGTTTAATCCCAACTTTATCATTGGCGTATCAAACTGTTTCCAGTATGGCATGGAATATATCCTGATAGAGCAGCGAAACTTCTTTCTCGATATATGCTGGTTGAACAATAATTTCAAATCTGTGTATGAATTATGTTTTCAGAATTGCAATTAACGAGTGTACTTCCTGTTGCTCCAAGTTGAGACGCGTAAATGATCTGTGCATTATACATTGTAATTTGATCTGAATGTTGGAACCCTTGTTATCTGCAGGTGCAAGACCGAAAGAGATGCGACCGCTCAGCCAGTCAATGCCATGTAGCCATTCAAATTCATAAAGTTGCATGCTTGGTGCTCATTCAAGTTTTGATTTGGCCTCTCATTTTGCACTATATTGAGGTGAAAATGAACCTTTTGCATTAAGCGGCTGGTTATCTCACATTATTCAGATAGCATATCGATATTTCAATGTTAATCGTTGCTCTCCAAGGATGTAATTTACAGCTCCGTAGTTTCGTCTCACAGAGAAAGCTTTGTGTATACTTTATTGATCGAGTAATATTACAGAGTCTCCGATGCAGGTGAAGGCTTTTAACCAGTTGAGCTACAAACGCTATGCAAACGATAAAGATTTGGTACGCAGTCATCGAAATCAAAACGAGAAGAAGAAAATCTATTGGAGAAGAGAGTGACTGAATCAATCAGGAACCCTTGAGGATGGAAGTGGGAGAGAGAGGAGGTGCATCCAACTGGTAAAGATTAAGAGCCGGTCCAACAAACCTGAACAGAATCCAAGCCCCAATCACTATGTAAATTGAAGCATAAGCAAACTTGTTTAACCAAAACAAAGCACCCTTCTCCCCCACGTAAAGCTCCCATGCCTTCTCCCCCAAGCTCATATCTTCCCACTTCTTTGGAGCGTCACTAGCTTGAGCCTTCATGACCCGTCCGCCGTCCCCCTCATTGCCCTCCTCTCGCTGCTGCTGCTTCGTCCGCCTTCTCGACCTCTTTTTGAACCGCACTCCCGTGGGGTCCGGTGCTGCCACGCTGTTGCCGTCAGTGTCCGGAATGCTAGTGCTGCCACCACCATCACTGCCGGTAGTGTTGTAAACTAGTGTGCTGATTCTGAGAGGCCGCGGACGGGTGGCGGGTGAGAAGATATGGTTCAGTTTTGTTGGAGAAGGTTTTGAGAGGGCGAGGTGGGTTGGGGAAGCTGGTGTTGAGCTGAGTAGGTGGAGGAGTTTGGCCTCCATTGCTGAGCAAGTTTGGTGTTGCAGCCGAGTGAGTGAGTGGTTGGATTTTGGTTTTATCACTTTATCTTTTCGTTGCTTTTTTTTTCCACTATGAAAGAGGCCAATCTGATTAAGAATAGTGTGGTTGGGCTTCAACTTCAAGTGGGCCTTAACAGTTTTTCAATTTACTTGTAATCAAACTCAAACTTCACCAAAAACTAAGGGCATGTTCCTTAACGTTTTGCAAAACAGTTTTTCGTTTTCTAGACACAAAAATGGGTGAAAAATGCATTTAGTAGATAGATAATTTTGTGAAAATATACTTTGAGACACAAAAAACAATATTTAGCCTGAATTATGTAGAACATCAAATTGATGTTACTTCTGTTTTTCAAAATAATATAAAATAAAATATAAGTTAGAAAATAAATTTAGAGTTTTACTAAATAAAATAAAATTAGGTATGCTACCATTACCGTCACCAATGCTGCCACCACCATCACACCACATTTTCCATCATCTCACCATTACCACCACTATGGCCACCATCTTTGACACCACCATCAGCACTACTATCATATCCTCAAGTGCCATCACTCTCGCCACCGTGGCAGCCCCCCCCCCCACCCCGGCGTCTGACCTTCGCCACAACTAACATGACATCCACAACATTTACCTTTGTCGCCACTATTACAACCACCATATTATTCACCATCACATCGTTGCAGCCACTACACTACTACCATTACCATCATCTCGCACCACCATCGCCACCACCACCACCACCACATGCTCCATCCCAATACCCACACCATATCCACCACCATCTCTTGTCACCATCATCCCTATCATCTCAACTACCATTTTCACAACCATACCTATTCACCAAACTTCGTGCTTATGATTAGAACCGTTTATATTGTAAATCACTTTGTAAAGACCTTTTTATATATAAAAAATCAATTAACACCAAGATCATTTAGTCAACAAATTGTATAAAAATAGAAGAAAATATTCAGTAAAAGTATTACAAACCGTTTATCATTTTGTTTCAATTGATTTACTAAATTATCTTAGTTTTAATTGATTTTTTATATTATAGAAATTAACCTTACAAAATAATTGATTTACTAAAAAGAACAGATCTAGTAAAAGTATTACAAACCGTCTATCATTTTGTTTCAGTCAATTTACTAAATTATCTTAGTTTTAATTGATTTTTTTCTTTCAGAGATTAACCTTACAAAGTAATTTAACAAAATAATTTAAAATATAAACAGTTTTGATTATAAACACGAAATTCTATAACTAAGCGACTATATTTTAAGAAAGAACCCTTCTTCAACCTTAAGGAGCCAAACTCTTTCTCATATCCCAATTAGGAACGAAATTGTTGAGTGGACTCGGACAAGTGGGCAAGCTTTTATTATAGCCCAACACAAGCTGTTGGACGAGGATCTCAAATTCCAAATCCTACCCGGATCCACCTTTGACCACCCCTCGTAAATACCAAACTACCCCTCCTCCATCTCCATTATTACAAACCCCTCGGCGAAGGTTTTACAGTCACTAAAGTACGCTTTTGGCTACCCGCTCTTTAGCATCTCTCTTTTCCAAAGCAAAAACATCCACTCGCCCAGTCAACAAGCCGGAGCAACCCAGCCCCACCAATCCATGACCGACAACACGGCCGATAACAACCGGGTCGAACCGGAGGACCCGTTCCTCGTAGCGTATCAGCCATCGGAGCTCCGAATCGCCTCGGAGTTTCTCTCAACCTGGCTCTCCTTTCTCACCAGAGATCTTTGTCCACACTGCTCCGCCAAACTCGCCGATCGCGTCCGCTCTCTCGGCCCAGGTACGATTTTTTTTCACTTTCTGTTTGTTTCCTGAGAAAATTTAGGGCTAGAAAGTGTGTAGAAGTAAAAAGTTTCAGTCTTTATGTTGTCCTGTACACAGAAGAATTTTGAATTTTGAATTTTGAATTTGTGTTTTGGCATATCCTTAATGGGATTTTGTGATTTGGGAATTGAAGAACTTGGTGGGGATTCGAAACCCGTTCACCCGGATGAGAATTCGGGAGATTTGAATACGGAGAGCAAGGAATTGCAGGTGGGTAGTGATTATGATAATGGTGAGGAGCATCATGATGATGACACAAAGTCACTAGGTAATTGGGACGACGGAGCTCAGGGGATGTCGGAACCCGACCCAGAAACTTCTAACAGTGGATTGGCCCCCTTATTAGAGACTCCAAGCCCTCGAATGTCGTGGGCCGATATGGCACAGGAAGATGAGCTGGAAGAAGAGGAAGAGCATGAGTTGAATAAGCGGGTGGTCAATGTGAACGAGGCGACTGGAAAGTTGAGGATTACGAAGTCTACATTGTCTAGGGAGCAGAGGGAACACTTTAGGATCACGAATGTTAGGAGGAAGAAAGATTATATTTGTTTGGAGAGGATTAATGGGAAATTGGTTAACATTGTCGATGGGCTTGAGCTCCACACTGGTATCTTCAGTGCGGCGGAACAGAATAGGATTGTTGATTATGTTTATAAGCTTCAAGAGATGGGCAGGAATGGTTTATTAAAAGGTTAGTTCTTTGCTTTCGGAATGCCATTACAGTACTTGATCTTCCTGTTGATATTTCTTCTTGTTTTTGTACATGTTATATGTGTGTGTGTTTGTGTATATATATTTGTAATGTTTCCAATAACATGTTTTCCCTATCTGTGATGACTTGATACGTAGGCCTTATTGGTAAACCTTCTTTGCCTAGCTAGAATGTTAGTTGTGTGGAATGCACATAATGTCTTCGATTTTCTTTTATGAATTTACATCTATTTTGTTCCTCAAATTTTATTTATTTATCAATTTCGTTGTAAGTTGCCAAAGAACTTTTTTCAGTGGTATGTATGTGCCAAATGTTAAGGTTCCCCCTCTCTTTTCACGACGAGTTGTAAGTTATCTTTTATGTATTTTTTCTTTATACAGAAAATATGAAAAGTCTATTATTTAGCTCAAACTTGTTTCAGGATTTTCTAGTTGCATTTTATTATATTGATGTAATTTAATTCTTATTAGGAGATGTATGATCTTTTGGCTAACCTGTTCTGAAATTCTTGCAGCACGTACGTATACAGCACCTCAAAAGTGGATTAGGGGCAAGCGACGAGTAACCATTCAGTTCGGCTGTTGCTACAATTATGCAGTGGTATGCCTTTTTGCTATGGCATTTATATTTAATTTCAATTTCTTACTTGACTAACATTTTGTAGAAATCAGCTACATTGTTATTCTAGTGGGTATTATTTCTGAACTTTGCTCAAAGGAACTTTAAAGTGATACTGATTTTTATGTTCTGTTGTGCTGTGTTGGTTACAGGATAAGTATGGTAATCCACCTGGTATCCTACGCGATGATGTTGTCGATCCCATACCTCAACTTTTCAAGGTGATCATTAGGAGGCTGGTAAAATGGCATGTGCTTCCCCCGACTTGTGTACCTGATAGTTGCATCGTCAATGTATATGATGAAGGGGACTGTATACCTCCACATATTGACAACCATGATTTTGTTCGACCTTTCTGTACCGTGTCCTTTCTTGGTGAGTGCAACATAGTTTTTGGTTCAAACTTAAAGATCATTGGTCCTGGCGAGTTTGAAGGTTCATTTGCCATTCCCTTGCCAGTTGGGTAAGTATGTCATCCTTTGTGCCTGTGTATTTACCGCCCTTGTTTAGACTCTACCTATTGTTTGCCATTACATTTTATTTATAGTTTTGATATATGCACCAACCTTTTCATGGATTCAAATGTCTCAAGAGTCAGCATTTTCCCATGCAGGTCTGTTCTGGTTTTAAACGGAAGGGGGGCTGATGTAGCTAAGCATTGTGTGCCTCCAGTACCTACAAAACGGTAAGAGTTAAAACTGTGCAATATAATTATTGTCTTTTTGTGGTTGCTTGTATTAATTATTTGTCTTCAGGATATTTACCTGCTTGTTATTGTATATATTAGGATATCAATCACATTTAGAAGAATGGATGAAACCAAACGGCCGAATGGTTATGTTCCAGAACCTGATCTACAGGATCTTCAACCACTATCCTTTGAAGAGGACAAGAAAACTAGATTAAATTCACCTAGGAGCCAACCTCAGATGAGGAGGCAGCCAATTAGGGATCAGATGAGGAGGCAGCCAATTAGGGGATCTGCTGACAGACGTGAGTTCCACTCAGAAATTAGGGGATCTGCCGACAGACATGAGTTCTACTCAGAGCCCCGAGAGTCAAGTTGGAGTCGACGTGGATCTGGAAATAGGTGGAACCGGGGAAGGGTCAACGTGAATTTTGAGAGCTAGTTGATGATGGCTAACTTCTTTGCCAGTACAAGTGTTGCAGTTGGCCCCCTTCAACCTTTCGTCAAGGTTCTTACATTTAATTTCCTAAAGAGATAAAAGATATCGTTTGGATTTGTATCTTTCTACATCTACTTTAGGCATGTCAACTGTGTTTTGGTTTCTTCTTTTACAAGAGCAATATGCATGTTTGAGTATAGATGGAAGTTCAGAGGATGCGGCGAAGGTGGTGGACATAAATGCAACTTGCTGGAATGCCACCACAGTTTTATTGGTATTATTTTTCTATAGCTTATAAGGCATATGCCCCATAACTAGATTATCACCTCGCCCTATCGGCTTTGTGAGTTTAAAACATATGTGTGAGTTGTACTATATAGTTGATGAACCAACTGAAAGCTGGTTGTTTGTAGCATATTGCTGCTTATGTACCTCAGCAATTGATTGCAATCTGTTGAGTGTGGTATCGTTTGATGATAGGAGATATCAGTTGTTCTTTCCTCGGTTTTATGTTTGTGAAACTGAATTTTTTACGCATGCTCAAGTTTCTTGTGTTTGAACGTCCACTCAAGTTTCTGGCCGGTTTGAGCCGTATATTTTCATTGTTGAGATGAAAATGAAATGTAGATTGGTAATTGGCACTTGTTGGAATAAGAACACATTATCGTTGTTGATTTTGAGCTCGAATGTTATTCCATATTCTTTACTTTTTCCTGCTCTTTTCGTTACAGACGCAGTTACAGTTTCTGGGAATTTTCTGCTGCTCTTTTGTACCTTCAATTCCTTTGCTTTTTGACTCCTACAAAGAGTGCCTTTATTCTTATTTCGTACTCCCTTGGG